GATAAGGTTTAAGCTGAAAAGGAAAGAAGCGTTTAGTGAAGTTTCGAAGGTTCAAAAGAAGTTGGTTAAGTTGCAGCAAGATATGGAAGCAGATAAGCAAGTGTTTGAGACACAGTTGATGGAGTTGATGAAGTAAAACAGAATGTTGAAGTGTGGGATCTTTGTTATGGTAATTGTAGTCATTGCCATGTGGTTGAAATGGACTTGAATTGTGCAGCAGGTCAAATAGGTGTTTATGGTTGATGGTATATAATTCCAACCAGTTTTTTGGAAAGTGTATGGGTGGATGTTAAAAGTTATTAGCTTTTTTGGGAAGTGTATGTGTGTATGGGTACATGGTCAAGGTTAGATCCTAGTTGTAATGTATAGTCAGGTTTTTGGTTGAATGCTTGTTTGATCAGTGTGTGTGTATGGGATGTTAGATGTAATGGAATATAGATGTAATAGGATGGTAGTACATGTGAGCAATTTTAATGACTTTGTGTTGATTCAACGAATGATATGAAAGATCCTAGTTATGATATACATTACTGAATTTTATAGTATGCATGTGCTCCTTTTAAAAATTAAAGTGTGGGTACCACATTGTCGGCCATAAGGAACTCATTTGGTCCATTTAAAAGTGGATTGTCTTTAGAGTTCTATGCAGGGGTATATATGGAAAAGTAAGGGTTAGTAAGGGTATATGGACCACTGACCACACGTGGTATATAAGGACATAATCAATCATAATTTTAAATTATCTATATATGCAAATATATTCCCTTGCCATGAAGTTTAACCAGACAAGTCCTTGACATGCATGAAACTTCAAATTAAGACAACAAAAAGCTCAAAATGACAATCAACTTAAGTAACACAAAATACGCATCACATAAACCAACATAGTTTCATACAAACTAGCATAATTAATAGAAGTTTCATAAAAACAGCAACAATACACCAAAACACATCATTTCACACTACATACCATGTTCATATCATATAAACCAACACTTAAAGTTATTCTAGAGTAATAGGTTTAGCTTCTGAATTCCCAGGTGCATCCGCACCTCCAACTTTCTTGCCCAGTTTCAACTTGATAATCCTTTCAGATTTCTTCCTCCTGATTTTCTTCAACAGGGTTGCAAGTGGTGTTTCTCTAGCCTCCTGTTCTTGCACATGAACTTGACTAGGTTCTCCATTAGCTGATGAATCAAACTCCAAAGGAGTGAGTTCCACCTCATCATAGTCTTGTTGCACATTCACCTCATTGACTGCTTCTCCACCATCATTTACTGCTCCTCCATTATTGACTGCATTCGATTGATTACCTTCATCATCCTCATTGATCGCTTCAGCTACACCCTGATTGGCCTATATGAAACATTACTAGAAATTTAAAAAGAAATTGTAAAGATTAACCATTTAAATACTTATGTACCTGTTTTGTTTTTCTATTAGCTTTGGTTTTAGGAGGCCTTGTTAAAGTACAAGCTCTTTTGTTGTGTCCTTTAATCTTACAAAGGCTACATTTTTGTTTTTTCCTAGCCATGGATACCTTCACCTGCTCCTTACCTTTGTTTTGTGTTTGGGTAGTTGTATTTGATTTTTTAGTTGACTGGTTAGGGGTTTCTGTTGCATCCCTTTTCCTTTTAGTTGTAGGTCTGCCAGGCATAGTTCTACGAATAGGATGTAAAGGTGGGGTGTAATCAGTTGCAGGCCACAATTTACTTCCATTCATAAGTGCTAACCTAAACTTGTATGCCTTCATGTAAGTTGTGACAACCCGTAATTTATTCCGTCAATGTAACCCGTTTCTGTCAATAAAGCCGTTACGTTTCAATTTTTCTGTTAACTTGTTTTAAATTAATAAAATTGGGACTTCTTATTTTGACATCATAAGAGTCGGAACACATTAGAAATGCGTGAAAACATCTCAAATATTTATTTGGAAAATTTATAGTTTCGACCACGTCGGGTTACGGCAACTTAATCGGGTACGACCAAAAGCCCCGTTTAACGTTAGTATCGGGTAGAATTCCACCGGACCATAAACTCGACCCCTATATAAGGGATTGAGTGACATCATTTTGAAGCTTTTTCTCTCTCTTAAAACACTTTCTCTCACTACTCTCTCTCTAAAAATCCGATTTTGATCCACCCCCCCCCCCTTTCAAGCTTCAATTTGGTAAGTAATCTATCCTAGCATGTTTCTAAGCATTTTTATCATTCAAATTTGTGTTTAAACTACCCAAAACCATCAAGAACATGTGTTTACGGTTTGGGAACCCTCCCAAAACCGTAAACTCCTTTAAAGAGGGTTTTGAAGCCCCAAAACCCCTCAAATCACTTCTAGTGCTTAGTTAAGACTTTTGGACTTGCAAGATTGGACTTAGAACACCAAAATCTTACCATTTTGGGAGTAAACTTGAGTTTACGGTCTAAGAACATGCTTGGACCGTAAACCCTCATTCATGGACCATAAACACCTTTTAAGGTGTTAGTTTTCCCCCTAAACACCTCCAAAAGCTTCCATGAGAGTATAGAACCTCATAATCCTTCAAGAGATGCACCAAAACATACACAAATGGGTTAAACTTGAGTTTATGACCCAAGAACATTCTTGGACCATAAACACCTCTTCTTAGACCTTAAACTCCTCCAATGGGTGTTAAAGTGCCCTTTACACCTTGTATGGCTTAGAAATTGGTCTAGAACTTAGCATGCTTAACCTTCAACCACCAAATCACATGAATCATGGACCAACATGAGTTTACTATCGTAAACACATGTGTTTAAGGTAGTAAACTCACCAAGAACACCTTCATAGACCGTAAACTCCTTTTCCAAGGTCAATTCATGTCCCAATCACTTCCTAAGCCATGTAATCAACCTTGGAGCCTTCCTTTGTGCATTGTAATTAACCTAGGACCACCAAAACACATTAAGGATGGGAACATAAGATTTTATGACTGTAAACTCCTAGTTTACTACCGTAAACACCTCAAATGGTCCTTATGATGTTCAAATTCCATTCCAATGCCTTAAAACTAAGCCTAGTATCACCCCACAAGAGTTATAAGACCATTAAGCAACCAAGAACACCCCCACCATGAGTTTACGGCCGTAAACTCATGGGGAGTTGGTCATTAGGCTGAAAACTCCATTAGAAGTTTACTCTTGAAGAGCAAACTCCATATTCAAGCCATATACACCCTTAGATGCTACCCGGGTCACTCCTAACACTTGAAATGAAGTGTTTTTGCATCTCGGAGTTGGTCATTAGGCCGAGGAGTTGGTCATTAGGCTGAAAACTCCATTAGAAGTTTACTCTTAAAGAGAAAACTCCATATTCAAGCCATATACACCCTTAGATGCTACCCGGGTCACTCCTAACACTTGAAATGAAGTGTTTTTGTGTCTCGGAGTGTACTGTCTTATCTAATTAGTGGTTCAAAGTCTAATTAGATACAATTATGTATCTCTTCATATTACATAGGAACCTCGCGCGTTTTCAAGCCCCGAACTGACGTTTAGCATCCAAACCGACACATTCCTCGATTGGTGAGTTCATACCCCTACGCCTTTTCTGTGTTTTTCAATGTTTTCAGGGCGGAATACAAGCAAATTATAAATGTTTTCGAAACTTAAAACTGATGAAATTCTATAAATATCTGGCAAACTTTTAGATATCTTTACCCCTTATGTATTATGCGGAGCATAAGGGATGTTTTATTGAATATAACTACATGGATTTCAATTACAGTAAAGGAAACAATCAAACCAATCAAATTATTATGGGAATAATTTGGGATCTTCAGTTCTTGTTTTACAGACACAGATTTCATGCAAAGTTAATAGATAAACTATGTCTGATTCAGTTTATCTCTGTTTAATTTAGAGTATCATGCCAGATAATTTCTTTGTATTTAATTGTTTTCACTGTATTATGTTTCAAAACGATTATGATGTTTGATAACGACCGAGTACACCGTGAATAATTTAATACTAGCTTGTGAGATTTATCTTCATTAAACCCTTCGGGTTATCAGTAAATCCTCCCCGGAAGTATAACCAGAGTCTCCTGGAGGGAGAGCGTGGAATTTGTGAATAGATTTATTCGGGACTGACAATCCCACACCTTAACTACTAGCTACAGTTAGGCAGGCATGCCTAGGGTGACAAATTATGGATATCGTCCGATGCCTGAAGAATGTCAAGGAGGTCTCGTGTCATATTAGCATGGTTATACGACTCACAATATGTATTAAACTAAATAGTTGTATTCACGGATTTATTTTCTTTCCATCTTCTATAGTCTTATTTATGTAATAAGACTACCTACTTTCATACTAGATTGTAGTCCAATCATCTTGACTTATGGTTTTCTTATCGTACTGGTGATAATCAGGGTCGCTCTTTCTTGAATAATAACTTTTCAGAACGACCAAAGGAAACATGATCTTTTTACATAAACAAACAACTTATGAACTCACCGGCTTTATGCTGATTTTTAAACTGCTTGTATTCTCAGGTCCACATTAGACAGGTACCCGCGATATTTTGGAGAAGACGGAGCATTTTAGAAGTCACGTCTTTACTTTTGTTAAAACTATTGTACAGTTAAAACATGTATCATTTTACTTTTAAACAAATGTAATTATTCATATGTAATGTAATGTTTTGTGTTACTATGCTTACTATGTACATTGGTTGTGATACTATACATGATGTCCTCCGCCCCGGAACATTTCCTCCATTGGTTTCGGGGTGTGACATAAGTGATGCTACTAAACATTTTGTCCACATATGACTCTACATCCCTATTCATAAAACTAATAACTGCAATAGAATTGACACAGCCGATTCCATTAAGCTGCCAAAGCCTGCATGAGCAAGTTCTTTCTTCCAGATCCATTTCATAAGCATTTATAGTTCCTCTTACTTCAAACTGATTTAGTCCACTAGGTAAGACTTGGTAATGTCTTAGACCCTTCTTAATGTCATTCACTATTTCTCTAATTGTTGGACAAATTTGGTTTCCCCATCCTAGACCCTTGCATTTCTTCTTGAACACCCTCTCCATCATATACATCCTCAACTCCTCTAGCATGGTGATAATTGGTTTCTTCCTAGCATCAACAATCACAACATTAAAAATTTCTGACATTCCATTCTCCACAACATCACAACATCTTCCTGGTTGGAAGTAGGCCCTTGACCATGTTTTGGGGTCTTTGTCCATCAGATACTAATGAGCACTTGGGTCTAGCACTTCAAGCTCTTTCATGGCAACCTTAAAATCTACCTCTGTTGTTACTTTACATGTCTTCTAGAATATGCTTTCATATTGGGCACCACTGTACCTTTTCCTTAGGTTTTGGCTAATATGCTTGGCACACTGGCTATGCTCTACATATGGAACGAGTTCTTTCACAGCCTCAATCAAACCATGTTAACAAATTCTAAATATAGTGAATAAGGATGCAAATAGATAGGAAAATTACTTACAAACAATTAAATTACCTTGTGTTGATCAGATATTACACTGTATCCATAGCACAAATTAAGTCCTAAGTCATCAATGAGTAAATCTAAAAACCACCTCCAATTTTTCTTATTCTCCACATATACTACTGCCCATGCAATAGGATAAATCCCATTGTTTTCATCCCTTCCAATAGCACATAATAACTCCCCTTTACAGATCCCTTTAAGGAAACAACCATCTAAACCTATTATCTTCCTGCATCCCTCCTTCCACCCATTCTTCAATGCATCGAAGCAAACATAGAACTTACTAAAGTAGTTCTTCCCATCTGGCATATGATTTACATCAAGCTTCACAGTGCTACCTGGATTTGATCTCCTAATCTCTTCTGCATACGACCATAACTTTGCATAATGTTCAACTAGGGTACCATCTATTAGTTGGAGTGCATATTTCTTAGCTCTCCTGCATTGAACAACACTAACATGAATGCCAAACTTCTGTGACACAACTTTTCTTAGCTTTCTAACACTCATCTTTAATCTAAGTAAGAACTCTCTTGTATAATGACAGGCTTGTAGTTCCTTGCACATTTGTGGACAGGCTTTAAAGACTTAATTTGGAAGCTTGATTCATCACTCATCCAAGATGCCTATAACCTGAATGAGCACTCACCCTTGCAACACTTAACCAAAAATCTTTTCCTATCATTTTTCTCAAAGCAAAGTTGGTACCCATTCACAACAGCATAGTTGCGTAACATCGATTTTGATTGAGATGGATCTTTGAACCTCAGACCAGGTATTAGGATCTGCTTTTTCCGTGGAACTAACTCATTAAAAATTGAATGTTGTTGAGTTACATTGGCATCCTCTTCATGCGCATCATGATCATTTATGTTGTTATCATTTCCCTCTTCCTCTTCGCCACATAATCTATTTAGAAATTCATCACCCTTTGTCCTATTCATAGTGACTATGTCCTCATTAAAGTCCACATCCACGTCTATTAGGTTATCAATTTGTTCCTCATTCTCACCACCATCAATGCAAGGATCATCTCCATCCTCCTCTTTTATTTCAGAACCAAACAAATCTTCTATTCCTTGACCATCATGGTCCACATACATACAAATTTTACCATCTGTCCCATATGCTTGAAAAATGAAACCACCATAGTCTTCATCATTAGCGATAGCAGTTATCCCAGATATTAACGGCTTACCTAGTTCACAATAGTATAACTTCTTTATACTTTCTTTCATGAACCGTTTGAGAAAGGTGATACATTCACCATATGTCATTCCAGAAAAATCATGATCATTGAAAGTGAAGTTGATACCATGGTTATATGAGAAAGGATATATAAGAAAAACACCTTTGAAGTTCAGATCCACTATATGGTGGAGTCCATCAGGGTTTGGCGTCAAGCTAGACATTGTGGGTTGGTTGACTTCTCACTGACTTCAATCGGAGAAAACGACTTCGAACCCTAGGTTTAGTGCTTCGTATTCACTGTAAGATGAGAAAAAGAAAGAATAAAGAAGGAGTTTTCTAGCTAAATAAATGTGTTTATTTTGACCTATAAATCCTACATGGATAAAATAAATGAATTATATTATGTAAACTTATTCCACATAAGCAATATCACCGGTTATTCCGTTTACCGGGTGCATAAGGGGTAACTAGTCGGTAGTTACTAACATTAAGGATCAATTGAGCACAAAAAACACTTTAGTGACTAAATGTGCAAATTGACGAAACATTGATGTGCTACAGTGTCAAAAACCCAACCCTATTTGTTGATGGTTTTGGGATGTAATCATCCTAAAGGGGGGTATAATTGTAACACCCGCAAATTCGAGCTAGCCAATTAAGAGATATTAAGCGTTAAAAACGACTTTTTGATAGGAGGTTATTTAAGATAAATAAGTTGAACTAAAGTTACAGTATATGTGATCAGGAATCCAAACATATAAAGAACGCAGAAATCCGACTTCATATGAAGAAGTTATGCTTCTTCGAAGTTTCGCGATTAAAACCAATACGACTCTACATATTGTAAAAACTGAATTTTTGATAAATTATTTTTAGCCTAAGATATCTAAATGAAAGTCGTAGTAGTCATTAAACCGAGAGTATGCAAATAGAGAACGTTAAAATACGACTTCGTGAGAGGAAGTTATGATTTTTCGAAGTTTTAGCGTAATTGTGACAACCCGAAAAAATTTTACTTTTAAAAGACCAGTCAATCAACTCAACTGAGTGTCAAACTAATTAGTACTAAGTTCTATCCCGGTTAAAGGTCATTCTAAGGAGTTTTGAGCCTAATACACTTAAGGAATAAGTGGTAGAAAGCACCTTCTAGACCCACAGTGTAACAAATCAAACCTAAACCTCATCTAAATGAGTTCACAGCCATAAGACCATCAGTTTATGGCCGTAAACTCATGTGGCCATAAACTCAAGAGTATATATATGGTCCTTGACCATTTTTCTCATTCTTTCCTTTCCTTGGCCGATTTTCTTCATTTTCTCTCAACTATCATCCAACCTTCTTCCTAGAACTTCAAAAGATGTAAGTATTCTTCCTAGATTAGTTGATACATCTTATTAACTAGCTTCTTACATTGATTTCATCCATGAAAATCATGTTTGTTTAGATCTTCAAGTTTTACCAAGAACACAAACTAGTGTTCTTGGCCAATATCAACCGTTTCAAGCTTCTAGATCGTAAGTCCTCTTCCCTATACTCCATATTTAGTTAGGAGTCATGTTTAGACACTTAAAAACATCAAGAACACAAGTTGAAATGGAGTTTACGGCCAGGCTATCTCCCAAGGTCGCAAACCCCTTAAAGGTTTCCATTTTGGCCATTAACCCTCCTAGATGCAAAGTTAGTGAACCAGGACCCTTTGTGGATAAGCTTAGGACCTTAAAAAACTCTCATAAACAAAAATGCTCATGATTTTATGGCTGTAAACTCATCAGGGCCGTAAACTCACCAAAGGCTTCAAAGAAAGTGGTCTTCTTCATCTTAGTGTAGAGCTAATGTCCCTAAAACTTCCCTAGCCTTCAAACCTGCCATTATACATGAGTGACCATGAGTTTATGGCCGTAAACTCCCTTAGTCCATAAACCCATGGTAGTAAACTCATGCGAGGGCCATTCTACCTTCCCTTGTTGAATCACATGTGATTCCAACACTTGGTCAAGGTGTTTCCTAGTCCCGGAAGGTTTTTCCATTCATATAGTTGTTGTAAACACTATATTCATGCCAATATGTGTCATTATATGTCATTTAGGACTTATTGTGTCTCAGGACTTCATTCTTGGAACTTCTCATCCTTACACGCATACCCGCTTGAATCACCCACATCAGGTGAGTTCATACCCCGTAATGAACCTTTAAAATGTTTTAACTCTTTTAAGGGCGGGGGGGGGGGGGGGATACAAGTTGAACACAATGATAATCGTGTAAATGGTTTGTTACAAACATCTTTCAAAATGTTACTTATGTTATTTATAAGTTGTCAAAACATTTCAAAAACTCTTTTAAAGTCATGTTACTTTATAGTTATACAAAACTCTGTTTCTAAGGCACAAGCATAACTTAGTAGACAAACGAGTCTTTTCAATAACAATCCAAGTAGAACATTAGTAAACTATAATAGGTGTAGTTTAGGAGAATGCTATTCATTACTTCTAGTACAATGAAGCACACAAAGAGTCAGTTCATTCATGAGTCTATACTAATACAATGCGCTTACATGAATACGGTTACATAGATACGCTTACATGAATACGCTTACATAGATATGCTTACATAAATACGCTTACATAAATACGATTACATCACACGATAATAGAATAGACATAACAAGGTGCTATAACATGGAACAATTTCAGGATCTAACTATACCAATGAATCACTAATGCATTGTGATAGTTATATTGGGTATACATGATCATAGTAATGTGGATGTTCGCGGCTTGCAATCATTGCAAGGTTCGCGTGTGGTTCCCAAAATCTCTTGACAAGGCAGCGTTTAGCATGGGATCTAGCCATCACATTATGCCTTAACCCTCAATTAAGGCAAAATAGTACAAAAAAGTAGTCACTTATTATAAATACTACACTACTTACATTGTATATACGACAATTACAAAAGGATATAAAATTCCAGTTAATATATTATTAATACCTTTACTATGTGTCATATTCACATAATCGATGAGGTAAATTAGATTTCAATAATAATAGTCTTACAGTCGGGTCTTGGTAGAAGGCTACTTTCAAAATAGTCGGGTCTTGGTAGAAGGCTACGATTAAAAGTTAGGACCATAATTCTAGTCTTATGATTCCTTAATGTATACACCACATGATACATATATACCAATAGGTTCCGACAGATAATAGGATGTGTGCTCTCCGCTTCATTTCCTGTTCCTCGTTGGGTTGTGGGCTTGGAACGGATTCACCTAATCTATTATCTACCCGATTCTATATATATGTATGCTTAGTATACATTAAGTCATCATAAGCGTACCAGGTATGGGTCAGGTTATAGGACACAGAGTTGAAACACAGTTTTTCTAGTACAAAACATACTTTCCAAAGTCAGTACTTTTGGTATACAAAACTAGAAATTTCCCAGAAAAGGGTTTAATCCATTTTATTAAGCCGGTACAATTTTAAAGACTTTAGGTGAGTAACTCTATAATACCTTAGTTTATACACCATGTTTATATATAAAACTAATACCCAATAGGTAGTTAAATGTGTGTTTTACGCCTTACTTCCTGTTCCTCGTTGGGTTGTGGACTTAGGGCAGATTCACTCAATTAACTTTCTATCCGATATCAGATTATATATATCGGTATAAACTAAGCTATTATAAAAGTAGTCACTGTGGTCACTATTTTACTATAAGAAATATAGGTTTTCTTAAAGAACTTTTCATTAGATATAAAGGAAACATTACAATTAACTCCATGAGTAACAAGTGAATACACCATGGTTATATATGACAACGATCTAACAACCAATGGGATGTGTGCTATCCGCCTTACTTTCTGTTCCCCGTTGGGTTGTGAGCTTAGGAGAGATGCGCACAATCGATTGTTTGTTTACTCTGAGTTTTATATAACTTGTACTCACTTAGTACCCATAGAAAGGCTTGTAGTGTCATTTTACTTAACTTTCATACAAGTAGGAAATATATGATTTTCTAGACGAACAAGAGAACTTTTCAAAATAGAACTTACAACTTACACCACTTTTACATATACATTTTCAACAACATTTTACAGCTTACACCACTTTTACATATACATTTTCAACAACACTTTACAGCTTACTCACATCACTAAAATCTTATGAACTCACCAGCTTAATTGCCGATCAACTCTTTCAAATAACTTGTATTCTCAGGAGGCTATTAGACAGGTGCTCGTGTTGGGGATTTAGTAGATGAAGTATTACAGCTTCAAGTCTTGTTTTATTATTTGTGTATGAATTCTATGTTTTGTGAACACACACATTGTAAACAATTTCTTTCGAAATGAGATGGTTGTTCATTACTTGCTTACCATATACATATCTCGTGATACTTAACATGACGTCCTTCGCCCCTGAACGTTTCCGCCGTTCCGGTTTTGCGGTGTGACAGTAGTAGTATTCCACTCAGAAAAATAAATTAAGATCGGTCTATTATTAGGTGAAACAAACTAAATGAGAGTCAAAGATATAGTTAGCATGAGTCCAACGATATAAAGACAATCGAGAACGGACATCGGACGAGAGAGTTATGAATTTTTAACGAACTTAAACAGTCTAAGCCTATTAAAAATATAAATTTAGAAATAAATTCAATGTTATCCGACAGAGTCTAAATAAAAGTTGTAGATCTCGTCGATAGCTACTCATAGATATAAAACCCTTTGAAAACGGAGCTCGTATGGAAAAGATATTAATTTTCTAAGAAAACAGAAATCCTCACGCGCAGTCGCGCGCCCAGATAGAGTGTGCGACGCGCCCTGACTCGCCACCCAAATCACGGCACGTCACACCACACAGAAAATGAAATGTTAGCACCTTTCGACGAGATGCATGGTGCGCACCTGATCTGTACGCGTCTTCCCCCAATTTAGCCTATATAAGCTTGCGAAATCTGCTCATTTTCTCACTCACCTTCCACACGATTCTCTCTGGATCTCTATCCAACCATTATCCCTTACTCCCGAGTTTTCCGGACGCTTTGGCGAAGCCCTATAGTGCCATATAGCCAGTGAATAAAAGCTCCTAGATCAGAGTTATGCCAATATAATCCCCGGTTTTCATCAGAATACTTTGTAAGTTAAACTACACTTATTTTATTCCAGTGTAACCTTTAATTATAGTCATAGTCGTTATTATGAATCTATAATTAAGATTTAT